TGTTTCTCATCAAATATATTAAATCATGTGATTTTCCATTTTACAGTGTATGATAGTGATGACAATGATACCAATAAACTTACCTTGTGCTGTGTTGTGAAATGTAAACTACAGAATATATCTAGGAACTTACACATGTAAATGGTATCCAGTATGGTGTCTGTTTTGCCATCTTCTTGCTGTAACTGTAATAAAGGATTATTGAGATTGAGTACTAGAGCCTGGCATGATGGTTTTGATGTGATCGCAGCACTCAGGAGCCAGAGACAGGACTCTGATGTGCATCTGAGGCCAGACTCAGTTACAGAGTCAGACCCTGCTCTGTTTTGTTTTGCTTTTACAGATGAAAGTGCCAGGTTTTGTATGAGGGAACTGATTAAAAGGCACACTGTGAGGGATTACTGGGCAATAAGGAGTTCATTTGGAGTCAGATTGCCAAAAATAAGCAGAGAGACAGTGTGGGCACCGCATGGGGTAGAGGGTTCAGGCCCCAGCACCAGAGAAGACTGAATAGAGGAATATCTGGAGAGCATCAGTTGTCCTATGGTAGAAGACCTAGACTCTTACACTTTTTATGATGGGAGTGGGGCAGCTTCACCACAGAATACTGCAGCCAGGGCCTCTGATTCCAGACAGGAGGCAGATATATGACATAGTATTTCATGAATATTCGTTTAGGTTAGTGTGGCACCTGGAAAGCATATACAGAGGACTCATTTTGAGTAAAGCTCCATCATGTCTCTATCTATGACAGTAGAAAGGCAGTTACAGGGCAGTGCATAGATAGGAGATTCTAGCATTACATGCCTGCACAGTTTACCACAGCCACTCACGAATGTCACCATGCTTTGTTTAAGAATTAGAATGCCCTGGTTAGAGAGACGGCTTATCAGTTTATAGCACTGTATAGCACTGACTGCTTGCTTTCCAATGGTCCTAAGTTCAATTTCCAGCACCCACATGGTATCTAACTGTCTGTAACTCCAAGATCTGGCTCTCTGTCACACAGACATTCATGCAGAAAAAAAAAATCAATGCAAGTAAAATAAGAAATAAATAAATTGCTTAAAAATTAGAATATTTGAATTATAAAACCACAGGTGTTTTTACTTTTAGCAAATTATAAATTCATTCATGAGAAAAAATTTTCTAGGTTCATAGCTTTCCAATTTTTCCTTTTGATTAATATTTCTTCTATAACTGTGTTTCATTGTAAATCCTTCCCTCTGTTTGAAACAAATGCCAGTGTTTATTGTGCACAGTTAGAATCGCACACATTTGTAGCACTGCTCAATGACAGCGTGGCCAGTGTATTATTTAATGAATCATGTGGAGACTGGGGACATTACTCCCTTTTATTTTTAAATTTTGTTTGAACTGTTGAAGTTGGACCATAACAGTAGAAGGATTTGTCTACCCTCCTAGTCAACTATCTAGGTGAATTGGGATCACTATTTAAAGTATTAGTAGATGTCCTTTAAAAGGGACATAACCATTAAGTACCTTTGAGAATCATTTAAGGATTGTAAACTATACTATGTCCCAAATAGTCCTTTTTTTTTCTAACCTGTAGCTCTCACTAGCTGACAAGGCCTCATTTGCATCTGAGCTGACAAGGCCTAATTTGCATCTACACAGACACCTTTGGGGGTGGGGGCCTGCCAAAGCTGCAGGACAGTTCCCTGAAAAAACCTCTCTCTCTCTCTCTCTCTCTCTCTCTCTCTCTCTCTCTCTCTCTCTCTCTCTCTCTCTCTCTCTGACTGGCTCTGAGGGCTTAACTTGAATTTTTTGTTAAAATATTAACCGACTGACTGGATGTTTCTTTTGGCTATATCTAAATCGATTTAGGTAGTTTTTAACTGTTTGAAGGGATTTAAGTATCCCTTTAATCATATCCAAGGCAATTAGAACAGTTGCTTTTGTCAACATTCACGCATTTACATTTCACACTTCATACATACTGACATGGCCACGTCCATACACACAGACCATGCATACATATCTCTCCTTGCCTAGGTTATGATTAGTTTGTTGAACTGAAACTTCTTTAACAGAACAACTCCAGTCAATCTTTGAATTAAAACAAAAGGTTGAAAAAGTCCTGTATGTCCCTCGTCATTTCTTCATTAGAGAAGTTTTGAGCTACACTCAGGGGCTACAGCCATACCCACTCCTAGTAATTCTGTAGATGCAAAGTGGAAAGGCCAGGCTTTTGCCAAAAGTTTTTAGAGATGACTCACAAAATTCAATAACCTACTGTGGGGACACCAGACCTTGAGCAGAAACCCACTTCCCCTTCGGCCTGGGAGCAGGCATCTATGTAATGTTTACTGAAAACAATTCAGTGCTTTAAAGCTTGATAGGGCTCAGATAAGGGCTGGCTCACTGAAATACCATGCCTTCCACACCTCTATGGCTAGATGCCTCTTCCTGCCCCCTGTGGTGTCTCCCAGATTCTGGGGCCGGAGATTAAACCACCAGCCAGGAGGGTGAGAAGTGGAAAGAATGGTATGTAAATGGATGGCAAAAGTCCTTAAAAAGGGAAGCCCTTTTTCTTGGGGAGACTTCTCCAGAGATTTCGCCAGAGACTTCTCCTGAGATTTCGCCTGAGAGCTCTCCTAAGCGGACTGGGGTCTCCTCCTAAGCTGACTTGGGAAATATAAAGTTTTCTTAAAGCAACCGGTCTCTGTGTCATCTATCCCGACCACCTCGCTACATTCTTGGATGCAGGCCGCACAGCAGGTGCGACAACCTACCCCATATAAATATAACCAAACATTTTTATTTTATATACCTTTGTCTTTTTCTTTACTGAATACTAATACCTCATTTATTAACTGTTACCAATTTATTTAATTTACCCATCTTTAATCTATCTTCCCATTGAGGATGATCCTCCAATCTACCCTCCAACTGAGGGCAACTTCTTATCTTAGGTTCCCTTTTTTTCCTGACCTTTGTTAGGTGAGGGCCTATACATTTAATCCAATCCACCCTTCAACTGAGGGTGATCTCTTAGGTTCCCTTTCCTTCCTGACCTTTGTCAGGCAAGGACCTAGACATTTAATCTTGTACCCCTAGCTTGGTACCCCCTTTTTAATACATACTTATAGCCTTACTTGTTGGCTATCCTTTTAGATCTCTGAGTTTTCCGTTACTTTCCTGACCTCAGTGGATCAGGTGAAAGACTGGCCTTATTTATTAACTTTACTAATTTTTTAAAATTTATCTATCTTTAATCCATCCTCCCATTGAGGATGATTTTCCAATCCACCCTCCAACTGAGGGCAACTTCTTAGGTTTCGCTTTTCTTTTTTGACCTTTGTCAGGCAAAGGCCTAGACATTTAATCTGGTACCCCTAGCTTGGTACCCCCTTTTTAAAACATCCTTATAGCCTTACTTGTTGGCCAGTCTTTTAAATCTCTCAGTTTTTCTTTACTTTCCTGACCTCAGTGGATCAGGTGAAAGACTGGAGATTTCTTATTTTACCCTCCTTTTTTTTTTTTTTTTTTGACTGGGTTTCTCTCTATCCTTTTGGAGGCTGTCCTGGAACTTGCTCTATATACAAGGATGGCCTCCATCCTACCTACCTCTGTCTCTCGAGTGTTGGGATTAAAGGCATATGCCACCAACACCCGACTCTAAAGATCATAACGAACATCCTTCCAATCTGGGACATTTAAGCCTCCCCCAGTAATGAACCATGGACTGGCAAGTTCAATCCATTTTAAAAAGCCTTCCAAGGTTTTAGGCTTTACTGTAGTCCCATGTCCTTCAAGTAACTTTTTAACTTGATACTGTAATTCAAGCTTCCCAGAACTATTTCCCATGGTTTCTTTTCTTTTTTCCCCAATCTGCCCCTGGCCAGAAAAAGAGATGAACCGGCTCACTTACCTCGCTTTCATGATCTCGGTGGGACCTCCAATTGTCGCACCTGCTGTGCGGCCTGCATCCGAGAATGTAGCGAGGTGGTCGGGATAGATGACACAGAGACTGGTCGGTTGCTTTAAGAAAACTTTATCCTTCCCAAGTCAGCTTAGGAGGAGACCCCAGTCCGCTTAGGAGAGAGAAGTCTCAGGAGAAGTCTCTGGAGAAGTCTGTCTAAGAAAAAGGAGCTTCCCTTTTTAAGGACTTCTGCCATTTATCTACATACCATTCTTTCCTCCTGGCTGGTGGTCTAATCTCCGGCCCCAGAATCTGGGAGACACCACAGGGAAACAGGAAGAGGCATCTAGCCGTAGGAGGTGTGAAAGGCATGGTATTTCAGTGAGCCAGCCCTTATCTGAGCCCTATCAAGCTTTAAAGCACTGAATTGTTTTCAGTAAACATTACATAGATGCCTGCTCCCAGGCCGAAGGGGAAGTGGGTTTCTGCTCAAGGTCTGGTGTCCCCACAGATGTTATTCAGGTTTACACTGCTATTTTGAGTGTTAGGATTAGAACCCAGGTACTCTTAACACACAGTCTCAGTGGGTACCATTGGAGATGTTGCCTTCTTACATTGGTGAAGCACATGCATTGTGGTTAAACTGACCTACCAGTATGGGCTCATTCTTAGGCTAGAGACTCCTACACAGAATTTTCAAAACTGATAGAGGAGCTAAACAAGAACTTTCTTTCATCTTTTGCCATTGACAGAAGGAATGGGCTTGTGATGACACAGCAGAGCTGAGACAAGTGGCTTAGTGGCAGAGCATCTCCTCAGCATGCACAAGGCCCTGGCTTCCATCTGTGGCACCACAGAACAGGAGAAGTTTTACCTCACCTAATGAGGAAGAGTCATTTTATTTGGGAATGTGGGAAATGATGAATTACTATTGTCTTGTGAACAGACAAGCAACTGGATGAAGAAAAAAGAATCCATACTCTTTGTATGAGAAGTGAAGGTTATTAAATAGGAAAGCCAAATGTAATTACCAGTGCTTACTTACTGGCCAAGGTCACCTGAATTGGCTCTGAGGAATGAAACCAGGTTCAGGTTGGATGGACCACAGCAAGACTGAGACTGTGACAACTTTATTGAGAGCAATCAGACATTTTATGCTTTTATCAGAAACAGGATACAATGGTAATTTCCAGGATCAATATTGTTGCAGTTGCTGGGAAACAACAAAGTTTGAAAACTATACAGAATATACAAGATTAATGTCTAAGATCAACTGTCCTGTCAAGCTTCCCTAGTTACTTGACTACTCAGGGATCATAGAGAAATGCAATGTTGCCTGAATCCTTTACTGTCTGAGAGAGTGCATATGTGTCTCAGGAACTGGAAGTCACTTTGAACCATGGACACTCTCTCAAGGGATTTTAAACAGCCCCACCCTGAAACAATACTTGGTAGAACAACCATTGGAAATGATCCATGAACAGTTTTCTCAATCTATAGTTTACAATTATATGGATGATATTTTACTCGATGTAGATACTATAGAGTAAATGTAGATACTATAGAGAAAATATTTGAAGTAAAGAAAACAATGACTAATCTGAAAAATCTATGCCCCATGCTTCTCAAGGCAGCTAGGCCAAAGCAACTCCATGGCTTCCTGCACCCCAAGATAGAAAAAAATATTAAGATGAACACACAGAGTTCAGACATATAAAATATACCACACATGGGGGCACTGTACAGATATGGGTGACAGTTTAGGAGGGTGGCCCACAGACTGTCATTGGTTCTGAACATGCCATAGGGTTAAAATATGGATAAACTGCATCAGGAAAGGAGGGTTCATAAAATTTATAGATGAGCACTCCATGGTTGGAAACATCATGAAATGAGAGAGTGCAAGCTTCTCTGTCTAGGAAAACTCCAACACGACTGGGAGGATGAGTCAGAGAGAGAACCAAGATACTGGCGTTATAGGTAACTGAACACTGCTCAAATGCATTATATACAGACCTTTTTGTCATACCTATAACCCAGTAGCCATGTTTAGGCTGATAATTTACATGCTGCTTAACATCAGAATCATCTTTAACTTCATATTTAGGTAGATAATCAAATTGTTTATCATCAAAACATAATTTGTATCCGGCAAAGTTAGGTTGATAATTTACATGTTGTTTAATACCAGAATTCTGTTTGACTTTGATGCCCTTTTTATTCATTGAATGAAGTTGGGGTTGAGCACGTCTTCCATCATTTAATCCCAGGAGCCAGGCATCACACCCAGACACGTCTACTTCCCAGTAATGTTTCCCTGACTGCATAGCTGGATATCCAAGGACACCTAAATCAAAGGTCTCAGAAACTTGCAAATTTCTTCTAAAATCTTTTCGATGTTGTATTTGTCTTTTGTCCAAGGTAATGACAATGTTTTTATTATGCACTTGACGCAGGGTCACATGAACTGCAGAAAATGAGACATAGAAGTTAAGTCACACGAGAGGCAAGGTACAGTCTTGTTTGTGATGTAAGGAGCAGAAGCCCAAGGAGGAAGTGAGAGGGAACTTGGAGGAGCTGTGTTTAAATAAAAAAGATGCAGATTGCTGTGTATATTGGGAGAAGTAACATGGATCACATGAGGGTTAGTAGAGAAACAAATTCTGAAAGGCACTAAGAAGAGAGTGGCATATAGTGCTGTGATTTCTCCTTACCCCAGTAGAGTTGGACATCCATGAGCCCTGAAATGATTAAAATTCATAGCATTAAATGCAAACAAAGGAATCAAAACACTAAAGTCAATATCCTCTGCAGAATATGGGAAGGATTGCAAATTGTGATATAGGATTGGATGGATGATGATTTCCCATTAAATATGGTGATATTTCTGGGACACTTTATCTGCTCTTCTGAGTCCCTCTACCCATGTGCAGAAGCATCACTGTCCTCCCAGAGAGTGTAGCTCCAGCCCCAGCTGGAATCCCCCAGTTACCCACAGAATGCAGCTGCTCTCACCTTGAAACACTTGCAGCATGCCTTTCACATCTGGAGCTCGGAAGATCCTTCTCTGTTTTCTTGGGACCATTTTGGGTAGTTTCAGTCTGAAGGTATGACTCCTAGGGACAAAAGATTGACCTCCACATCTCAGACAGTGTGACCTTTGACCACCATTGACTCCCCATCAGTCCCTGTCATTCTAACTATAGATGTCCTGGAGCTCTCCAGACAATTCCGAAAAGGGAATGCAAGGATAAGCTACTACCTCTGGAGACATGAGAGATACACTCAACCCCTACCCACATACTTGCTGTGTGATTTTGGGAAAGTCTTACTACTCGGAGCTGAGTTTCTTATGCAGTCTAACAACCTGTTCCACACTCTCCCTGTTTCCCTGCTAGAACACTTATGAAATGATGAAGTAGCAAATTTTAAAACAAATTAACCTAAGACAGCAAAATATTAATGTGTGGACTGGACGTGGATTCACAAGCCTTTATCCTGTAGTCAAAATGCAGCTTTGTCTACAGAGTGAGTTCCAGACCAGTCAAGGATACACACAGTGACACTTTCTGAAAAAAACAAAATAGACAGATAAACAGACAGAAGGGGGAGAGGGAGGAAGGAAGGAAAGAAGGAAGGAAGGAAGAAAAAAATGTATATTTTTCAAGGGCAGTGTAAAGTCGGGTGCAGAAGCTGTTCCTGGGTAATAGAGTCATGGACTGTGAGAAAACCATCTGGAGAAAGTCAAGATTTCAAACACTTTTGTCAATATGGACACTTTTGCCAGCTTCTGAATCATTAAGCTCTTTTTTAAGATGACAATTTTGGCAAAGACGGAGAACCAAATTAATGATAACATGTTCAGAAGGAGCCTGATGCCGGCAGCCTGGGTGTGACTCTTCACATACAAGGGCACAGCTTTCCAGTCTTCTGAAGTATGTGACTCATGTGGAGCAGCTGGGCCCACAGACTCAAGTCTGTTTGTGAAAAAACTAAATACAACCACAAAGGAACTCTGGATCTCTCCCTTCCCACGAGAAACACACAGATCCCCAGGAATTTTCCCAATGTGCAATTCTGTGAACATTGCAGCCAAGGAAGACACAGCCTAGCTAGGATGAATCTATGAATCAAGTCTTGTTAACTGCACACAGAGCCAGACACAAGCACACAGCGTGAATAGAATGAGGGAACCACAGGAGTCTGAAAGCCCCTGTGACTCCATTTGCCTCATCCCACTGCTGAGCCTAACTCTGGATTTCCCATTACCCAGTCCCCTAAAAGAGAATCAATCTGTTCTCAGTAGTTACAAAACAGACAGACCCTGACACCTGAACTTCATCCCAGAAATGGAGGGATGGTTCAACATATAAAAGTCCATCAATGTGATCCACCATATAAAAAAAATTGAAAAAAAAAGAAAAAAGAATTGAAAGAAAAAAATCACATGATCATTTCATTAGATGCTGAAAAAAAGGCCAGCAGTGCAGAGAGGAAAATTAAACCCCTATGTGGCTAACACAGCATTGAATTTATGGGGATCCCCCTCAGAATAACATTTGCCTAATCCCCCAAACCCTTGACACTTTTATTCTAGCTGGACACTAAATCATTCTCACCACACAACAGGGCTAATTTTCCCTGTCAGCCCACACATACCTTGTTAGGACAGAATTCACACCCTAGGGAGGAGGGAGAAAACACAGTTAGTAACATGTTCCTCATGTTCTTACACATACTGGGAACAGTCTTCACAGGCCACAGAAACAAAGTTAAAAGGAAATCAAGCCAGTCTCCCCCAGTTCTCTAAGAGATGGCATAAATATGATGCATGGCTCTTTATTTGACTTACATATAACCTAATAGACTATTTTGGAGACCAAAGATGAATACACAGTAGTATGAAAGCTTCCACAGGTTTTGCTGTATTTACAACTAAACTCATAAACACAGGACTTTTCACTTGCTCCATGTTAGCTATCCATTACCTTACTTGCAACTAACATGTCTGACAAGCTGATTTATTTCCCTTCCTCCCTCCCTTTAACTCCCCCCCCCCTCCACAGGGTTTCTCTGTGTAGCTTTGGAGCCTATTGTGTAGGCCAGGCTGGCCTAGAACTCACAGGGAATGCCTACCTCTGCTTTCTGAGTGGTGGGGTTAAAGACATGGGCCACCAGCCCCTGGTGAGAAGATGATTTCTAAAGTATTTTAGACATATAGACACAATTTAAAATTTAGTAATGAAGAAGCCACAAGGACCAAAACTTAGATTGCCTAATACTTAAAATGAACTAACCATATCTCTCTTTCTCTTTTTCATCTGTCTTTAATTTGCCTTTCAGGAAAAGAAGTTAATGTAAAGAGCAATGTGTGTCTCTTAATTTGACAAACCTTTGAAACAAAGATCCCATCACAAATGGTAATTTCTCCAGGAATCTCACACTGGGAAATGGAAAACAACTCTAGCCTGAGGGAGAGCTGGCCACCTAAAGGTTTCAAGCAGTGTTAATTACTTGCCAGACCACCACAAGTCTGTAACCCAGGTAACTATGGGAAAATGATGGACAGGACCACACCTTGAACTGGACTGCTGAGATGTGTATTTATTTTGTTCTCTATTTAAACTTTGAAGTCTCTTAGGGAAACTGAAGATGGACAGAAGGGGTTCTTAAAATTTCTTTTCTCATCTTCCAAATGTGGCCACATTAGTAAATATTCTTTTTCTGTTTTCCAATATTAACTTGGCTCTGTTATATGGGATAGATATAAGATTGACCCACCAGATCCACTTTGGTATGTTAAATAGCCATGTCAGTTAGCCATTTGTCCTGGGTTTGAGACCTAACACTATACAAATGTTCTCTGAAGTTTGGATTCCATAGGATTTAACTAAAGTTACATTCTTAAGAAATGTGACCTTTCTCCTTACAGCTAACAATTACCAGGAGCCCCTTGGGGGTGGTTGTACTTCCTAAGAAAGTTCATTTTCCATAGTGGAATTTAGTGTGGTTTAGGCTTGCACAGTTCTTGGGTTTGGTGTCACAACCAGTATTAGTTTAAATGTGCTGCTGCTAAGCTGTGTCCAGAAGACACTGTTTTCTTTGTAGCCCTTCATCATCAATGGCTCCTACACTTCTTTTTTCTTCCCTATCTTCTGCAATGATCCCTAGGCCTTCAAATTAGAGATGGGTTATATAAATTCCATTTAAGCCTGGATGTTTTGTAGTCTCTTATACTCTCTACCTTGGCCAGTTGGGGATTCCACTATGTAACTCTGTTGGCCTGGAAATCACTTACAGACAAGGCTAGCTTTGAACCAATGTATATTCATTTACTTCTGCACTCCAAGTGCTGGGATTAAAGGAGTGAGCCAGCACACCTGGCTGTAAGTTGGGAAGCTTATGCATCATTTTCATTGTTATGTACTTCTCATATATTTGTTTCTTAGTATGAGAAGCTCTCAAGCCCGGGGATCACAGGCAGTAGATACTTGGCTACACACTGATTTATTTTTTATAACATGAATAAGCAACAGTAGATCCCAAAGGAAAAAGAATTCTGGGGAGCACTGATCATTCAAGTTATAGGTGAATTCTGATGCTCAAACTTGTCCTCATAGAGAGGTGCATGACTATGTCCACTGCGTCCTTATCATAATGTATTAAATAGAGACAACAGGAGAACTAATCAACAGAGGAATGGATAAAAATGATATGATAAGCATATATGTTAAAATATTAGATATTCAAAGCAAAAATTATTGCCGTTTGTGGCATCTTGGCTATACTCAGAGAATTTATGTTATACTAAACCAGCTGGGCACAGAAAACAACAACCTTAAGTGTTACTGTTTAAATATGTCTCATGTACAAAAATTGATCTCCCAAAGATTTGAATGTGTGATATCAGGGGCTGGAGACAGAGAATGGTGGGCAGATTCTTTGGTCACGAGATATAATTTCATGCTTGTAGAGTATGATGGCTGTAGTTAGTATCTACATGAACTAGCTTAGGTTAGTCTGTATCTATAATTCCATCAAATATACATGACGAATGAGTGTTCTCAATAATAATTAAAACAACAAAATGGAAGCCAATAAATTAATGCAGTTTGAAAAGTTCCTAGAGCTACCATGGTCTATAACATTGACAATTAATATAAAAGAAACAAATTCCTACAGAATATTCACCACCAGAATATGCTTTTGTTTTGAGTCTTTTAAAAATGTGATGTAGATAAAATAAAATACAAGCTTTAGACCTGTAAGGATAAAGAAGACACCTTTCATCTCAGAAACTCAAAGAGAGGCAGGGAAAACTTTCTGAGATCTGGCATAGTAACTCCTCTCCTACTACCACACAACTGGAATCAGAGGGAGTGGGGGTGAAAGTCCCCAAATATCCAAAGGGAGAAACAATTTCTACTAATTTCAAATTGAGGTGGAATGACTCATGACAGTTGAAACTGCACTTCACACATGCTCAGCATTACAGCAGGCTAGTAACTACACATTAGGGAACAGGTCTGTACATGTCTCAGCTTCTGTTCTGTACTTCATAAGTTAAAAATGCAATTTCCGCCGGGCGTTGGTGGTGCATGCCTTTAATCCCAGCACTTGGGAGGCAGAGGCAGGCAGGTCTCTGTGAGTTCGAGGCCAGCCTGGTCTACAAAGTGAGTTCCAGGACAGCCTCCAAAGCCACAGAGAAACCCTGTCTCGAAAAACCAAAAAAAAAAAAAAAAAAAAATGCAATTTCCCCTTGACATCCATGCATGCAATGATTCCACAGCCTCTGAAACTGGCTCAGGAAAGAGTTCAGGGAGGGCACAGAGAGCCCTGTTGTCATCACCAGGAAGATCACAGCAGCACAGAGGGAGGGCAATGGCTTCCAGGTCTCCTGACTCTCAGATGCTGGGACCTCCTGCGGTCTTACCTGCAGCATTTCAAAGGCTGAGCACTGCAACTTATGCTCCACATCTGAGATGAGGTCTCTCACTGCCTCCCTCTGCTTCTCCAGCTCAGTTTGAGACTCTGCCAGGCTGTTCATGATGCCTTCCTTCTCCTGCATCAGCTTCTGCAGCTCATTCTCCTCCTTGGAGTCCAGGAATTCCCGCAGTCCTTTAAACTTCATCTGAACATTTTCTTCTTCACTCTGAATTTGGTTCTTGAGGGATAAGAAAGTGGGGGAGGAATTCAGACTGTCCTGATGGGACAGGAAGACAGAAAACCACTGTTGTGATGATGACTTCTCACAGGGAACTGAGCTTGGGAAAGGAAGGAGCCTACTGAAGTATGTCTCGTCTCTCCTTTCAGTGTCTGCTAATGACATTCAAAACAAAGATCTTAGGTCACCTTTACCAAGGTGACCTGAGCCAAAGTGGGGTGCCTGGGTGCGGCTCAGTTTTCACACAGCTGCCCTAGACTTTATTCCTGCCTGCAATACTCCTCATGCTACCTCTTAACCCCTCTGATAAGCTAATCCCAAGAATAGACTTGTGACTGTTCCTAAGATCTTCCCAACAGTCATAGTTCCAGAAAACACCACAGAGGTGAGACCCAGCACTCAGTGCCCATTCTCACCAGGACCCTCTATGGTGTCTGCTCATCACATAGCTATGCTCAGTTGTGATGCCTTCTTCGTATAGCCCAGCTCTAAGGGAACAGTTAGACAGAACTAATCAAGGCCTCTTGACCTCATCAACTACCAGAGAATGAAGAGACAGGGAGGTTCTTGCCCAGGTCCATCCCAGGCATCAGGTTAACTCCCTCAGGAAGGGTCCTTACTTACCACCCAATAAGTTATTTCCTTTTGAAGATAATCTTTCGATTCATCACATGTTTTCTCATTTGCCATCTGAGTTTTCAGAACTGCTTGTAGCTTCTCCTGTGAGACAGGAATTGTAGCAGAATTAAGTTGCGTGTTTAGTAGGACTGCTGATCCTAACCAAAGGCCAAGAAACCTTTGTGGAAAGACAGGAAGTCTAAGATTGTTCTGTTTTTAAAAACTTGTGCCTGGATTTATGCACATAGAGTAGGTAAATATGCAGTCTCCACCTCAATCATTTCTTGTATTTATACACCACAAGCCCCAGAGAGACACAGAAATCTCTCTTAGTCAATCAACCCATGTAGCACAAACTTGTTCTTTTCATTCTGGCATCAGAAAACTGTGATAATTTTGTTATCTTTTCTGGTTATTCATATAAGTACATACATACATCACATGCCACCTCTACATTGTTTTTGGTTGTTTTTTTTTTTTGAAACTGGGTCTTACTATGTAGTCCTGGGTGGACTGGAATTCACGTGTAGACCCAGATACTGTCAACCACGCTAGCTGCCAGAGTTGTGGGTCTGAGTCATTCACTACCACACTGGCCACACACATATTCTCTTTACTGCTCTTCATTCCTTTACTCACTTCATTGTTGATGGTCACTAGACTGGATTTTAGGTGTGAATGAATCTGATATAAACATTAAAAGAACATAAATATAGAATAAATTGCCAGTTCTGCTCTTGACTTTTCTTTGTCATTGACTCAACGTCGCAAGAACAGTTCCTCAATAATTTTTTTCTGTCCTAGTATTTGTACTCCAGGCTGATTCTCATACTATTAAGTGGAATAAATCATCATGTTTTTTTAGAATTCTAAAGGTAAGAAAGGATGTAATGATATATCAAACCTCGAGTCTATGACATTCCAGTAATTGTCTTGTCACACCAACTGGAGATTTTCCAACTGTTACTTTCTTGTGCTCTGTGTACCACCCCTCCCACTTTTTACCTTGTACTTGTGGGCCACCTCTTCAATGAGAGCTGTTTGGTGACCACGGTGATCCTGAGATCTCTCACAAAGCCAGCAGATGGCCACCATGTCCTTCTCACAGAAGAGTTGGAGTTTCTCTCCATGTTGTGCACAGACATTGACCTTCTGCTCCTCCTCTGGGCTGGATTTGAACTCCTTGAGCCTCTCCACTATGTTGGCCACATGTCGATTAGACCTCAGATTTTCAAACAGGTAAGTAACTTGGCACACAGGGCAGATGCCCTCCCCTTCTTTGCCCTTGCTGGACTCATAGTTCAGTGTGATGCAGGCTCTGCAGAAGCTGTGGTCACAATCGGCACTCACAGGTTCCACCATGAGGTCAAGGCAGACAGGACAGGTCACCTCCTCCTTGATCATCACCAGGACTGATGAAGCCATTGCTGCTGTGACCCTGGGTCTGTCTGTCCTGACTCCTGACACTCTGCTCAGGTACCTGTGTTATTGGGATGATACAAAGCGTACCTGAACGATGGGAAAATCAGCATGAATTATGTGCAGAAATCAAGTAAGGATCTCCATGATAAGGGAAAAGAACAAAGGAAAGAATCTTAGGGACATGGCAAAAGGAACATTTTGTCATACTTTTAAGTCCTCTACATCCCAAATGACAAATTTCAGATGAAGGATTGTTATTTTCTTTTACTGAAATGCAGAAAGGAAGTGTTTCTTCTACCTTCTATCCTTCCCTTTTTTTCTCAGGACTACATCACATCTTTAGTGTTAAAAGTATCATACTATTCATGTCTCCACTGCTGTACTTCCTCCATCATCACCAGTCGGTGGTCCCTGTGACTCTCTCTGATCCTCTCCTTACAGTTTCTTACCAGAAAGCTTAGTGCTAACTTGGAGTGCACACAGTCCCAAATCCTGACACAAATAGGCAATGATTTCTTTTATTGTTTAAGAGTGCTTATTGTTCCTTGCAGAAAATCTTAGTTCAGTTTCTGACACCCACATGAAGCAGCTCACTGGTGCCTGTGACTCTAGCTTCAGGAAATCCATCAGCTGTGACCATTGTAACCATCTTTTCATATGTGTATACATGCAGGGGGACCCACAATTGCACAACTCAAAACAAAATGAAACTCTGTTCGCTTGCTTTTGTGTTTTTCTTTTTTATCTTCTTAGGCCAATAGTGTTTGATTTTTACCCTTGGTTTCTGGATATGGGCTCTTTCCCTAGTGGGCCTTAGGTCAAATCTGACATTGGTTAGCAACTGCTACAAGTTCTGTGTCACCATTGTCCTACCATAGTGTGCAGGAAGGTCAGACTGTAGGTAAAGGCTGTGTGACTTGGTTGGTATTTCCTTTTCTTTTGGTAGCCTGCAGAGAACCTTCCTGCACCAAAGAAACTAGAATGTAGGGTGAAGGCTCCATCTAGGTACCAGCTTAACTTCTTCATTGTCAATGAATTCTGTGGCTGTTGTCCTATGCAATGAGATTCCACTGTCAGTTTCTAGAGGGCAACCCTTTGTCTTATCAACAGCCTGGGTTGTTTGGAAATTTCCCATGTTGATCCCCTTGGCCAACAACTCAATTGAATGCAACCAAGTCTCACCTCTGGAAGCCTTGTTTGGTGACAAGAGATTGTCTGATGAGACGCCATATCCCCATTAGTAAGAGATCTCATTAGGAGTGCCTTAATATATTTTAGAAAGTTTTCAGTTACACTAGGTTGCTATGCAATCCTTAAAATGTTCCCCCATTCTAGCAAATAAATCTCTTTTAAAAGAGACACCAAGAAACGATAGCTAGGTTTGTTAGTTTCAAACAATATGCCTATAGACAGCTTGCATCTTTTGTGATTGTCATATGTGATGATGGAAAACTCCATTTTTTGTTAGACACCCATTCTAAATGCCTAAAAGAGAAGCTCCTGGCAACTCTCACTCTTTGCTATCATTGTCCAAATTGTAAAAGTGCTATGAGATAATTAACTGCTTCCTCTGGATTTTATGAACCTGCTTACTTCTGTGTAGCAGGAAGTGAAAGAGATCTTCACAGCTGAGAGGAGTATAAGCATTTTCTCACTCAGATACACATTGCACCCAAAGGAGACAATTGTGTTACCTACCTAAAAAATCCTTCCCTCAGCTTCTTCTGTGTGACAAGCCTTTGACTTCTTTTTAAGACTGTTGTTGACCTACTAGCAGTAATTAATAAACTCATTTAACAACATTTTCTGTTGTGTCTGTGGTCTTTTCTTGGTAATTTTGAAGTTTATAACATGAAAAACTCTTGTTTTTTTGTATTTATTCATTTGTTTATTTTTTGCTTGTTTTTTTTTTTTGTTTTTTGCATCCTCACTACCACTTCCCCTCCCTCCTCTCCTCCAAGTCCTACCCCCAGCTTCTCCTCTCCCACCGGCATCAGCTTCTCCTCTAGTTCTCTTCAGAAAAGAACTCCTATGGGTATCAACCAGCCATGGCATATCAAGTTGTAAGTGAAACTGCTTCTTTCAGGATGAAACTTCAAAGTATTGGTGTAGAAAGATTGGGATTTCGAATAACAGAGACAGAAGCAAAGGACAAAAACCCATAGAATCATGGGTAAATCACCATCCCCCAGAGAAATTTAAACTCTGTTTTCAAATACCATTCTTCAGACTTTACTCCTTCAGTGAGGGGAACTGCAGTGTCTCTATTGCACCAGGGGATTTTTGGTACAGCCCAAAATTAAGCATTAAGAAAGAAGAGAGTGGATTCCATCTTGAGAAATAACTGGACCTCTCAGGACTTTGAAACCTGTCTTTTCTCAAGGTCACCTTTTCTGTCTGATTCCTCATCCCAAGAGCACTCAGCAGAAAGCCAGCAGTCCCTCTTTCCCTGCCCCTTCTCAGTTTCAAATTTAACTCACCAGAAGGAAGAGCGTTTTCTTTTAAATTCCTCCAAACTCTGCCCTCCACAATTGCTGTCACATCTTCACATGACAACCAAGCGATCCTGACTGTGTGGAGAGGAGAGACTGGAGGCCACAGCAAGTGTCCTGAGGGTTTCCTCACTAAGTGTGATCTCTGGTGAGCCAAGAGAGAAATGAAAGTTAAGATTTTGAAGGGTGGAACTGAGAAAGAGGAACTAGAGAATATCAGCCAATGGGGAGCTATCCCTATCTGTGATTCTCCATCAGAGGAAGTCAGAGTAGTCTTGAGTCAGCTCTCCCTCGCAGAGCAGCTTGGGACATTTTTTCTTTGCTACAGGAACTTGTCTTGTCAGGCTCATGTCACAATCACCTAAAAAAGACACTAACTCTCTGGGAAGGTGCCCCTGATGCAAAGATAGGCTTCTGCATGGGCTCCTCTTGCACCTGAGCTATTGGCTAGGTTGTTGCCCAGTTGAAGGGTAGATTGGATTAAATCTCTAGGCCTTCGCCTGACACAAGGTCAGGAAAGAACAGGGGAACCTAAGAATTTGCCCTCAGTTGGAGGATGGATTAGATGGGTAAATTAAAAAAATTGGTATCAGTTAATAAATGAAGTATTAGTATTCAGTAAAGAAAAAGGCAAAGGCATATAAAATAAAAAATGTTTACATTTATATGGGGTAGGTTATTGATACAAATTTAAGGTCAATTTAAAAATTGGTAACAGTTAATAAATGAGGTATTAGTATTCAGTAAAGAAAAAGGCAAAGGCATATAAAAATGTTTACTTACATTTATATGGGGTAGGTTATTGATACAAATTTAAGGTCAATTTTATAAGTCATCTCTAAAAACTTTTGGCAAAAGCCTGGCCTTTCCACTTTGCATCTACAGAATTACTAGGAGTGGGTACAGCTGTAGCCCCGGAGTGTAGCTCAGAACTTCTCAAATAAAGAAATGATAAGGGACATACAGGACTTTTTCAACTTTTTGTTTTAATTCAAGGATTGACTGGGGTTGTTCTGTTAAAGAAGTTTCATTTCAACAAACTAATCATAACCTAGGCAAAAGGGAGAGATATGTATGCATGGTCTGTGTGTATAGGTGTGGCCATGTCAGTATGTATGAAGTGTGAAGTGTAAATGCATGAATGTTGACAAAAGCAACTGTTCTAATTGCCTTGGAGATGATTAAAGGGATACTTAAATCCCTTCAAACAGTTAAAAACTACCTAAATCGATTTAGATATAGCCAAAAGAAACATTCAGTCAGTTGATTAATGTCTTAACAAAAAAGTTAAGGCTTAAGCCTTCAGAGCCAGTCAATTAAAAAAAAAAAAAACAAAAAGAGAGAGAGGTTTTCTCAGGAAACTGCCCTGCCGCTTTGGCAGGCCCCACCCCCAAAGGTGTCTGTGTAGATGCAAAGGAGGCCTTGTCAGCTAGTGAGAGCTACAGGTTTAAAAAAAAAAGGACGACTCACAGATTTCAGACTTCAGATAATTTTTAAAAAATTATTTGGGACATGGTATAGTTTACAATCCTTAAATGATTCTCAAAAGTTCTTAATGGTTATGTTCCTTTTAAAGGATATCTACTAATAATTTAGATAGTAATCCCAATTCACCTAGATAGTTAACTAAGGAGGGTAGACAAATCCTTCTACTGTTATGGTCCAACTTCAACAGTTCAAACAAAATTTAAAAAATAAAAAAGGGAGAGTAATGTTCCCAGTCCCCATATGATTCATTGAATAATCCACTCATTTAAAAATTTTAAAATGTACATGCCAGTAAGCAATCTGCTTCAGACAGATTCTGACATAATGGAACTTGAGCAACTATTACTCAGGTCAAATGGAGACATCCATACACTAGACAGTGGAGAAGACCCTAATTTGGGGTCGAGGGCATGTTTGTGTTTTCTTGCAGGAAAAGAATAAAGCTTCAGCAGCTGTCACATTTGGTGAGATGCATGGAGAAGAGAAAAACTGGACCTGAGACCATGGGAGCCTGCCCAAGCCAGTTCGAGATCTCCTAAATCGGTGTTCCTGACCCTTGATGTCATCAAATCTACAGCCCAAGAAAGAAATAAAACAGTGGGTTCAAGATTTCCAGTTTCTCAACAGGCCTGCTACATCAACTTCCTGTACTCCTGAGTTTTCATCCCAAAGCCAACAAAAAAACTGAAAGATTAGCAGTTTGTCCTTGACACACCTTAAAACAACAGAATTCATTTTGCCAGTTTTTCCCTTTGGGGGAAAAAAGGACCCATTTAAAACATTTGGACATTGGTATGGACTGTGATGAATGGCAAAAGCCTCTTTTCAGTATTTGAACAGGACATGGTCACTTGAAATATCAGACTTGGTGGTTCCTGTTTCTGGAATTGCACCTATGCCAGTGTATTTTTCTGGAGAAATGCAATTTGTCCTAATGCGACAAAAAGGAGACTTTGACTCAAGTTACATATTTAGCTGAGGTTATTGACGTTAAATCAACAAACTGGTACTCTATAAATAGTGCAACAAGCCTCTTGTTCATATTTTTTATAATGCTACATGTGTAACATCAATGATTGTACCTAATGTATCTGTGCAAGTGCACTTTCTAAATGCTTTCCTAAGTAGATCTTGGAATGATTGTAAACTTTATCACTGTTTTGACCATCAAATTTAACTGTAAATCACTCTTGTAGCAAAGAAAGACTGATGGTAGAATGCTATGGTCCAGATCGGGGGATGGGCAGATGACAGAGAGGTGCTATGTCAGTGGGGGTCCTAGGAATGGTAACAGTGGCAGTAGGCATTCTGGCTTCATGCTGAGTTCAAATGTGCCTTAGCCCATGGCAATCCTGACAGCCATAAAGCCTGATTATAGATGATTCTAAGATGAGGTTTCTCTGACGACGGACAACCTATGGGGTAGCGTCCCCATCCCCATTCTACCCGCCCCCCCAGCAGGGGTAGCTAGGTACCTTGAAGACGGGTTGGGGGGGCACCCCATTTGACCTAAGACAGGAGTGCCTCATAAGAAAATAAAAAAGGAGGAATTGTGGGGATCACAGACCCTGGCCTGAAACCCACTCATCCATCAGCCTGGGAGCAGGCAGCTGCAAGACAATGTTTACTGAAAACATGTTTACTGAAAACAATTCAGTGCCATAAACTCCTGATAAGGGCTCCAATAAGGGCTCACTCACTGAAACACCCTGACTTTGATCTTCCCCATGGCTGGCTACTTTTTTCTGCTCCCTGCTGTTTTCCGATTCTGGTGCCAGAGATTTAACCACCAGCCAGGAGGTCTGTTGGAGAATTGTGCGTGTATGGATGGCAGAAGTTTTTCTGAAGGGAAGCGTTTTTTCTTGGGAAGTTCTCCTAAGCCGATTTGGGGAGCATAAAGTTTTCTTAATGCAACCGACTGGTCTCTGTGTCATCAATCTGGACCACCTCGCCACATTCTCAGATACAGGCTGCGCAGCAGGCACAGCATGCTTCAGGATCTCAGGGCAATAATAGGGTATCTGATAGATGTCCCAGAAAGGATCCAGTATTGATAGCAAAGCAGAAGCCAGAGGCCTTGAGCCAGAACAATGACTCATTGCAATGAACATTTGCAAGTAAAGCTGTTTGGGCAAGACGACATACTGTGTGATACACCATGACACACTGCAGCTTCCACAGTGAGATTTTTTTCCTTGTTTTTTTCTTCAGTTTTCTTTTACAAGGGAAGGTTGCAAAAATGGAAGGAAGATATGGAGGGATGGAGAGATGAGTGTGGTTGGGGTGCCTGATGTGAAGTTCACAAAGAATCAATAAAAAATTAAATTAAAAAGTGTTACAGAAATCCTAAAATGTTTGGGAAGGTCCCAGGATAGAGCAACTGTGAAATTTTCAGAAATGCTGATGTAGATGCTCAGCTGTGGAGGGAAGGTGATAAGGAAAACTCTTCTCCCACTCTCTAGACTTCATTTGCCTTGCCCTGTTCTTTCTTTTCTTAGCCCTTCTCTCCTTTCATCTCTGCCTCCCTCCCGTCTCCATTTTCTCCTCTCTCTGTATTGGAGTTGGAGACTCCCTATGTCTTCCAGGTTGGTCTCCTGCCTTCTGGATCAAGGAGCTCAGACTGCAGGCATTGAATCGTAGCTGTAAGGTGGGCTCCAACTACCTTATGAAATTTACTGGTTGAAATGTTAAGTTTAAACCATCTTTATAGCCACGCTACAACAGGTAGTTAGCCAAATACTTGGATTCCATGGTTATGGAAATGCTACATACAACAGTTGAATCAACCATTGCTGATATTTAACATTTTCTGTTCTGACTTAGAATACTGGACACAAATGGCAAACATCATGTAATTTCAATGTGTTTTGCAAAAATCCACCTATTGCATGTGAATATATCTTAATTACTTCATTTTTAGTATACAATTTGGAATGCCCCATGGTTATTTTTATTTATTCATTCATTTATTTATTTATGTGCGTTCATGTCTGTGTGTGTGTGTGTTTGTTTTGATATAGGTGTTGTCAGATAGGATCTCATGTAGTCTTGAACTCCTGGTCACTCTGTTTCCCCCTCCCAAGTTCTGTGATTACAGGTGTGTGCCACCATGACCATCCCAAGTGGTGATTTTTAAGAAGTTAATGCAATTTGAGAGTTTTATTGAATGTGGGACATGAGACATTCTGGTGTTCCGTGTGTCCTAGTGATACTCCAGTGCAGTGAGGATTTGGTCAAAGTGGCCTCCATGGCGGAACAGGTATTCTTAGAAGCCTCCGGTACTCATTCAGCAATTCACAACTCCTTCCCTGACAGATAACGTTAACTGTTAGAGTTTTGTGGCTGAGGAGTACCTTGTCAGATTTTGGCAGAGGAATGCACAGAGATCACACCATGAAACAGACCTCATACCACGGATTTGGGGGGGGGCATGAAAACAAAAGGACAGCTCTGAGTTTTAATAGGAGAAAGAGAGGAATAGAGGGACAGTGATGCCCTGAGCATTTATAAAGGGTATGTGACTTGTGGTGATAGTAGAAATATATCCCATTTGGTGGTTGGGAATGTGGCTGGTGGCACAGAGTCACTGAAGATGGGCTAAGGGTGAACTTAGCTGCAGCCATGTGATCACATCAAATCTGTATTAGATGAGTGGGTTCTACCAGCAATTTCTCCC